TGGTCAAATTAATTTTATAGTAAAATTTAGGGGAGGGGCATTCTGATCTCATATCACGCAAATCAAATTGTTATTTGGTCGCACTGGAACAGTTAGCCAAAAGTCAACTACATTAAAGACGTTTTAAACAATACACTAACTTTTCTTAAAATATTTGTTTATTATAACGAAGTGATAAATGATGCTTCGATAAGGGTTCCAAGCAGTACTGTTCCTAAGACGAACACTGTTTGTGAGCATCTATAACAATAAGGGTGATTTGATTTCCATTTATTTGCCGCCTGATACTTTATTACTTTTTTACAGTGACTTTTGGTCAAAAGAATTTCTGAAAGACCTCATATATACTGTACATACATATATGTATACATCTATGTATAGGACTTGTGAAATTGAGAAATCTAGTAATAACAATTTTATTTACTGCATATCACGCAATGTCATGGAATTTGGTAAAATTTGAATGAGTAAATTGAAAGCACTTAATCAAATCATGATACATCCTTTTAGATTATTAAAACGGAATTAAAACAGAATTCTGAAAAATTATTTTTAAATATTATTTGGCGGACCTAGTAGAGTTAGCCAAAAGTCAACTATGTTAAAGACTTGTCAAACAAAACACTCATTTTTCTTGAAATGTCTATAATAAAGTGATAAACCATGATTCAATAAGTGCTCAAAGAGTACTGTAGCTTCGGTTAACTTCTCAGACAAATGGGCTTCTATTGGTAAGCATCACAACCACTTGGTAGGCTACTTGTATGCATCTTTTTTTTTTTTTTTGCACAGTTACTTTTGGTCAAATTAATTTCTGTAGGAACTTACAGGATCTCATCATGCACAAATGTTATATTAAAGTAGTATTAATGTTAAAGACATTTTTTTAAAAATCATAAATGACAAATTTATATAAAAAGGGGTTTTCAAGCATCAAAACAAATTTAATACAGCTTTAATTTGTTCCCAATACATTAGAATGTATCATGAGTATCATATGTATTCAAATGTATCATACATTTTTGCCATAATTTACAGAACACGTGTCAAATTTTTCTTGAAATGTCTATAATAAAGTGATAAACCATGATTCAATAAGTGCTCAAAGAGTACTGTAGCTTCGGTTAACTTCTCAGACAAATGGGCTTCTATTGGTAAGCATCACAACCACTTGGTAGGCTTCTTGTATGCATCTTTTTTTTTTTTTTGCACAGTTACTTTTGGTCAAATTAATTTCTGTAGGAACTTACAGGATCTCATCATGCACAAATGTTATATTAAAGTAGTATTAATGTTAAAGACATTTTTTTAAAAATCATAAATGACAAATTTATATAAAAAGGGGTTTTCAAGCATCAAAACAAATTTAATACAGCTTTAATTTGTTCCCAATACATTAGAATGTATCATGAGTATCATATGTATTCAAATGTATCATACATTTTTGCCATAATTTACAGAACACGTGTCATTCAGTGTAAAAATACTTTGTATATAAAATCTTGTCAGGCATATTTAGAACAAGAATCATTAGATGACATTAAAAAGACTCAGACATTAAGGATCACAGTGCAGTCCCAAAATACTAATTCACTGTCATTTTAAATCTTTACCACTATCCTAAGAATCTAAAATGTAACCTACTTAAATCTAACCACTAAGTTTTACCAAAGACTTTAGATATCAGCAATAAGTATTTAAACACTTGAAATTAAATTTAGTATGATCACTTTTTCTTTTATAAGTAATAAGTATGTTGTTTAATTTTTACATAAATAATCTGTTATGCTAAATGATGATGGAACATTATTTCACCCATATTTTCACATTTTATTTTCACTTAAGTTATTTGAAATATTTATAGAGTTTATATACGTGTGTATATATATATATATATATATATATATATACACACACACACACACACACACACATAGGGCTGTCCTTAGCTGACGTGGGGCCCGGTGCGAGGTAGGGAGCGGGGCTCCCCCCTCGGTCCGTTCGCCATGGGGCCCCCTCAAGCGCGGGGCCCGGTGTGACCGCACCAGTTGCACCCCCCTAAGGACGGCCCTGGGTACACCGACACTTACACTACCTTTGCCTTACACTACTGTTCAAAAAAAATTTTTTTTTTTTAAATGCTTTTTGAAAAAAGTCCTCGGTCTATTCACGATTGCGTTATTGGTGGGTGGGGGGGGTTTAGTTGGTCCCCTCGGTCCATTCGTGATGGTGTTCGGGTGGGGTGGGGATTCCCCTCGGTCCGTTCGCCGCGGGGCACCATCAAGCGCAGGGCCCGGTGCGACCAGTAGCCCCTCACTGCAGAACACAAGATCCAGGGGGCGTGGTTGGATCCACATCTAGGGGGTGGAGATGGGTGGGTTTAGGGATCAAGGGGTGGGGACGGGTAGGTTTAGGTATATCATGTAAGGTGGGAGGAGTTGGATCTGGATCCAACCACGCCCCCTGGATCTTGTGTTCTGCAGTGAGGACCATCTCGGTGCGACCGCACCAGTTGCACACCCCTAAGGACGGCCCTGTATATGCACACACACCTATATAAACTCTATAAATATTTGCGTATATAAAACGTTGCTATGGTTACCTTCTCACGCAGACGCAGCGAGTGTATGTTTACCGCCCGTTACTTGTGTGCAAAATTAATATGGATTTTAAGATCTCAACCTCTTCCTTCCTAGGGATTACTAAAGGTGCCAGGCCCCCCAAAACGCCCCGATACACATCATTATGGATCCACATCTAGGGGGTGGAGATGGGTGGGTTTAGGGATCAAGGGGTGGGGACGGGTAGGTTTAGGTATATCATGTAAGGTGGGAGGAGTTGGATCTGGATCCAACCACGCCCCCTGGATCTTGTGTTCTGCAGTGAGGACCATCTCGGTGCGACCGCACCAGTTGCACACCCCGAAGGACGGCCCTGTATATGCACACACACCTATATAAACTCTATAAATATTTGCGTATATAAAACGTTGCTATGGTTACCTTCTCACGCAGACGCAGCGAGTGTATGTTTACCGCCCGTTACTTGTGTGCAAAATTAATATGGATTTTAAGATCTCAACCTCTTCCTTCCTAGGGATTACTAAAGGTGCCAGGCCCCCCAAAACGCCCCGATACACATCATTACCTCGGCATCCCTATAAATTCTGAGGATCTACAATGAATAGTTTCTAAAGGAACTTCTGGTTATATACAAAACGATCTCCTAAAAATCCTGCGTAAGATCATTCAGACTGATAAAGCGCTGATTCAGTGACAGTCGTCATGGCAACGGACAATCAGAAACTCGCCCCCTCCCCCCGCAGCTCGAGGACTGCCGCACCTGACGCACGCAGCACCTGTGCGTGACAGTGGACTGACGTCAGCAGAGCAAGTGAGTCAGGATCTTCCACACACGGCGTATGACAGCCAAAAAAATCCAAAACCCTCACAATAATTTGGTTGCTACGCCCAAACGTACACGAGCAGTAAAATAAATCCAAAAACGTATTCTTATCTCAAAAAGCAGTTATTAGCAACTCACCAAGGACGTTTGCTAAGCAATGAACGTGTGTAGTGACGGTGGACGTAAAGTCAGACCGAGTCAACTCGCCATAGTTCGGAATAGACAAGAATCCTAAATCGGTCTGAAAACGAGAGCGACGTACCTGTAGTTCCGATTTCCATTCATGAGGTCTCTGTCCGGATTCTAGCCGGCTCCAGGGGATCAAATACCGGCTGAAGGGTGTATGTTTAAAGCCCCTGAATGTCCTCCGTAAACCGAACTACACCCCGGCTGCTACCGCGGGTGTTGAAGCGGGCCGCTCGGAGGTTCTGCTCTGGTCGGAGGTCCACCCAGCCAGTACCAAGTCAGTCAACCGAAAGGCACGAACTCCCAACCGTGTCTCCTACAGTTTGCCGTGGATCCGTAATTGCTACCAGCTGACAAAGCCAAAAGACTCCGAAGAAAAATATTTTTAACAGCCGTCGCGAAACAGAGTTTGTCAGGAGCCTCGAAGCATTCGCGGTGTCTTCTAAAGTGCTAATCTCTTATAATTTAAAGACATAAACTCAGATATGAAGTTTATAGATGAATATCCGCTGCCGAGTTGAAAATGTGTCTTTTAGTCCGAGTTTGCCAGCGGCCGTTGACGTCTCATCGACTCTGTCGGTGTGTTACCGGTTTGCCTTGGGTTTACCATCTCTGTACAGTCAGGCTGTGTTGCCAGATCTGTACAAAAGCAGGCAAGTTGTTCTGACAAAACTACCTCGGAATACGCGGCTTGCATATTCAAAATCAGCCTAAAATAACCAAATTTTTAGCCTAAAGATTCTTTATGTTTTGAGTCACTGTAAAACTGAAATAATCCCCAAACCTGAAATCGCCTATATTTATAAGCAAAAAATAAGTCAAAAAAACTGAAAATATACGGACATGGCAACACTGAATCAGGGAGACCCACAGGAAATACCAAACGCAGGAAACACCGTCACTTCCTAGCATAATGTCAATGATCCGCCTTTGATTGTTAATTAATGGGTAGTGTAAGAACATAAATGACATGAACTCTCTATAAAATGTTTTTATTGTGAAGAAAAAAAACCTTTATATTATACTTTTTTTAGCACAGTAAATTATGAAAATATTCCTCCCCATTCCTTCCTTGTTTTACAAAAACAAATCCTCCAATTTGATCTGGTATCATATCCACATGTATGTTCCTCTGTCAAATATTATTTTCTTTTAGTGCCGTTTTGTATGTTGTTATCTTAAATATTATGTACCTTATTTTGATCACATTTCATATTTGATTTAAACGTTTTGCTCCTTCTTGTCCTTTTTTGTCTTTTTCTCTGTTTATCACATTTAGTGTTCATCTTTGTGGTAGTGTCTTACATTTTTGTTTTGTAAATTGTAAATAAATTTTTTTTTTAAATCACTTCAATACAGGTAGAATTTTTTTTAATACCACCAGTTTACTACAAACTATGATCTATAGATGGCAGCAGTGTGCTTAGCGTGTATGCGATTACCAAAGAAGAAGATTGTACAGGATATATTCTGCACTATAAACGTGAGAACAGTATCTGGTGTTCTTTTTTTTATTAATCCTGTTGTTTTACTGATGTAATTTCTATAGTCAAAAACAGAAAGATCCATTAATTTAAATTCATTTTCTTTCTTAAATCATCCCATGAAAGATTAAATAATTAGGGCACACATCAATGGCTCATATATTTAAGTATGTAAATACAGTAACTAGCTGCATGAAGTCGTAAATGTACGCCAAAATGCTGAAGAACTACAAAAAGCTCAAACCCTATTTATATGTGCTACTATATTAAGATTAGATTCTATTATACATGGGATTGATTAAGCTGAAATGCAGCTAAACCAGTACTGAGATCAATAACTCAAACTTTGTGTAGCTCACTATCATGTGGAATATTCTCTCCAGGTTTATTCAGTTTTTTTCCCCATATTTCTTTAATCTTTCAAATCTCCCATATGTGGCATCAGTCCATAAGCACTAATCAGCTAGTCAACTCTTTTTCCTATAAGTATTTTATCAGTTGACAGTTTTGCCTAGGATGAATTATTTTTAATTCATGTCATAATGTTTCAGAGGAATGGATAAAGTCATAACCTGTTTCAACAAGTGCCCAGATGCTCTGGTCCGTCTCATCTGTTTTCCCTGGGCAGGTGGAGGCTCTATCCATTATGCTCGCTGGACCAAAACTCTCAACAACTCGATTGAAGATAACTCCCCTATTAAAAAACGGGGTGTGGGTGTGTATATTATATTATATTTAATAGTAGAATTTAATCATTTATTTTCAGTGTACTCGGTTAGACTGCCAGGCAGAGAAGGGATGGCCAAGGAACCATTTTTTCAAAATATGCAGGAAATCGTTTATGAGGTCATCGGTGTGATACTTCCACAACTCAAAGAAAAGCCATTTGCACTCTTTGGACACTGTTGCTAAAGTAGCAGGAAATGATCATAGGTTTTAGAAAGTATATATAAAAGTATATGGTTTTAAATTATATATACACTGATGTGTAGGACCAGAACATGATAGTCAATTTAAAAAGAACATGGGCCAGAACATGATAGTCATTATAAAAGGCAACTGTTTTAAATAAATAAATAAATACCTGTTCATTTGCAACTTCATTCTGTAGTTTTGGAGCTATGACCTGCTTTGCTTTTGCCGAGCACGTAAACAAGGTCTACAATCTTGAGCCGATCCACATGTTTCTCTCTGGAGCCTCTGCACCATATGTAAGTGTCATCTGTTCTGTTTGTTGTCATATCTCACAACTGTAAATAGAATTGAAAATTATGAGAAAACAGCCAGAACCATTTTGCACATGAAAACAAACATGGAGCATGATCACCCCACATATTATGTGGAATACACAGTATCTTCAAAATGCAAAAATTAAAGGAGTTAAAAAAAAAATGTTACACAACATATAAGTGGTATTTCCATTTTATGTGTTTTGGTTTATTTTGTTGCAAAGGTGGGATATTTTTATTACTATTATTTATACTTACACTATACTTGTATGTGCAAATATATTTAAATGTATATTTATGTTTGTTATAAATGTTTGAACTTTTCTGTAAGTCTGAGGCTAGACTGCAAGCACCAAGAAGAAGCTATCTGTCAGATAAAGAGTTTCTTGTGTGGGTAACTTCTATTGGAGGCACACCACCAGAGATACTGGCCAATGCTGAGCTCGCCAAACTCTTCTTACCTGCTCTGAAAGTAGACCTCTTTGTAGCGGAAAATTATAGGTGGGTTTAGAAAAGAAACAGACAGACTTCAGCATCTTTCTTTAGTGTAAGAAAACATCAGAATATGTGGCACAATAAACCTACATATAATACATTATGTAGGGCAGATGTAGCAGACCGTCAACACCCATCCTGTCATGTCCATGCTTTGACGGAAAAGAGGATGCACCCCATGACTTACAAGGCAAGTCTTACAAGTAAATGGTTCAGTTTTTACAAAAACAATGTTGCAACTGCATGGTTTGGATTTTATAAAGAGGTAAACTTAGAACGAACAATCTGGTTATTCGTTAATAATTAGACTCACATGTGCATGATTTTGTTATCTTTTACAAGATTTCGTTTTATGTGCAATTCTTGTATTGTGTCTCTTTTGCTTTACAGCTTGGAAGGACATGACAAATGGTGACTTCACTGTGCAGATGCTTCCTGGATCTCATTTTTACTTGAAAGAAGAAGCAAATGAAAAATATGTACTGGACCACATCACAAAACATCTTGAGACAGCAGAGATGGACTATCTATAAAAACCCTGCCTTTCATTATTTAACTGCAAACATGATACATTTATGATATAACAACAAATGTATTCTGAATTTATATTTGCTAATGGAACACATTTTCTTGTGACTGTAAAAAAAAAATCTGAATAGACACAGAAAATAAACCAATTAATGCCAAAATTAATCTGTCCATTAATTGCGCACTGAAATGTTCATGACCTATTTTGACCAATAAATCATGAATAACCTAGATGTATACAGATACAGTCATTTTAGAGCATAAAAAAATTTGCAATATGAAAATAATTATCAAGTAATCAATGCAAAGCTGTGTAGCGTCTGGACCAATCAGACACACCATTTTTCATTTGATTTAACAAATCAATTATTCATTAGATTAACAAACATTCACAGACCCCTCACCCAATAAATATACTGGGGGCCAAAATGTCTGTGAACAGGGCCCTGGGACCCTGGTTACCATGGCAACCCTGACACCAGATACATTTATGATCTAATGGAATGCGAGAGTCACCCCTCCCACTACAATGTCCATAGAAAATCCACAGTGCACAGTAGAAATTGACTTTTCTACTAATTAATTCATAGGGAAACCTTTCTTTGAATGAACAGTGTATCCTTCAGGTCATGGTGCATGTTGTCTTTGATATTTTTAGACTATTTTATGCAGGCTTATGATCGAAAAACTCACTCCTGTCAGCTTACATATTTATATATATAACCCTACCATGTTTAGTATCTATGAATTAGTATTCGGATGATCTAATTGAGAGTGTATATTGTATGTTTATACCTAGCAACATATTAGTGTTCTAAGAATCTTTATTAGTTTGTGCATCCACAACCCATTTAACCAGGAAATTAACATTCTTAGAATTGACAAGACAGTTGACCCTGAGAGGTCAAGTAAATATCTACAGCGGATCTAAATATTTATAATTAATTATAACTAGTTATGATTAATTATTCATATTTCCCCATTAGTTGATTCGTTACAGCTGTAAAAAATATATACCTCATGAAATTAAACAGACTGAATGGTTGAATGAAGGAGGGGGAAATGAATAACATTTTTAAATAAAATCTGTACATTTTCTGAATAAAATGTGAAAAGTGCGAACAATGTTGTGGCAATTTGCCACTGTTAATAAGGTGTTATTAAGTGGTTATTAACCCCCTTAACTGTCACCCCCCCCCCCCCCCCTTTTTT